CTCACAGCTCACACCTCACAGCTCCGAACCCTCAGCTCAACTCACCGATGCCAGCGGGCGGCAGCATGTATTTGATCTGGTCCATGAGCCCCTTAAAGAGCACACGGTGCTGCTGCTTCTCCGCCAGCGAGGCTGCCACGCTGGCGTAGTCTTGAGACGCCTCAAAACGATGCGTGTGTTGACCATGAGACCGTTGAATCACACACGCCTCTAGACTCCCAATTATGCTCACCTCGTCCATGTCAGCGGGCGGCAGCGTGCATGCAACATGCATTTGATCTGGTCCATAAGCCCCTCAAACAGCACGCGGTGCTGATGCTTCTCCGCCAGTGAGGCTGCCACGCTGACATTGATCTGCACGGCTGGCTGGTGCAGGAAGCTGATCACCTCTAGTGCCAATTCAAACTCGCGCTCGACCAAAACATCAGTCACCTCCACACGGCGCCTGTTGGTGGGGGGGAAGGAGAGCAAAGCTGGGGCATATCAGATCAGCCAGTGCACCTTCGCAGTGTGGCAGGTGCAGGAAGCTGATCACCTCCAGCGCGTTCGACACGGAGCCCCGTCACTTCCACTTGCCGCCTGTTGGTTGGGAAAAGGAAGCGGGCCCACCCCATCCAACAGTCAGGAAAGAATCAGAAGCTGGCATAGATCTGCACGGCTGGCAGATCTGCACGGCTGGCAGATCTGCACGGCTGGCAGTGCAGGAAGTTGATCACCTCTAGCGCCAGGTCAAACTCTCACTCCACTAGCAACTCTGTCACCTCCACGCTGCGCCTGTTAGTGAGGGAGGAGTATGACAAAAGGAACTTTGCACATCAGATGGTGCAGGGAAGTTGATCACCTCTAGCACCAGGTCGACTAAAATTCCTGTCACTTCATTCAACCCACCACAGTCGACCTGGCGCTAGAGGTGATCAACTTCCCTGCAGCAGAGAAATGACCAGTCAGTGCACCTTGGCAGCTCACAGGTGCGGGAAGTTTATGACCTCGTGCACCACCTCAACAGTTGCAGCTATTCTAGCCTCCTTCTGTGACACCTCAACAGCTGCAATTTGGCCAACCGCTGCAGCCTCGGCAGATCCTCACCTTCCGCTAGGCGCTGCTGTCAATTCGAACAAGAAACACACGCATGCACAAGCACTTTACCACACACCCCCCCCCCACACACACACCCTCCCAAAGAGCCACTCACTTGGTGGTCCTGCCGTCGCTGGGAGCACCGAACAGCGCCAAACACCACGGCGCCTTTCTTTTGGACTGAAGGGAAAACAAATCCCTCCCATGCTCGCTCTCCTCTCATGATCCCTCCCATGCTCGCTCTCCTCTCATGATCCCTCCCATGCTCGCTCTCCTCTCATGATCCCTCCCATGCTCGCTCTCCTCTCATGATCCCTCCCATGCTCGCTCTCCTCTCATGATCCCTCCCATGCTCGCTCTCCTCTCATGATCCCTCCCATGCTCGCTCTCCTCTCATGATCCCTCCTCTTACTCACTCCCAAACCACCACTCACTTGCTCCTTCTGCTGTCACTGAGAGCACCAAACAGCGCCACGTCCAAGGGGCCATCCTGCCAGCCGCCACCAGAGGCACGCCGCTGCTCTTCCTCCCACCGCATGCACGCATTTTTCACACACTCCCATGCACACACTCTCCCAAACAACCACTCACGCATTTGTCCTGCCATCGCTGGGAGCACCAAACAGCGCCACAGTCCAAGGGGCCTTCCAAGCAGCCCCTGCAACCCCCTGCTCTCCCTCCCACTGCACCCTTTGCTCTCCCTCCCACTGTAACCCCCCACCACCAGCACCAACTCCACCTGCAACTCTGCCAGCCGCTGCAGCCTCAGCAGATCCTCACCTTCCACCTTTTGTGGCGCCTCAAAACTTGCAGCTCTGCCAGCCGCCATTTGAGGCGCCTCAAAAGCTGCAGTTCTGTCCGCCGCTTGGGCCGATTCAACCAAGAAGCACGCACTTCCCCACACACCCCCATACACGCAGTTTCCCAAAATACCACTCACTTGCTCGTCCTGCCGTCGCTGGGAGCACTGATCAGCGGCACACTCCACGGGGCCTTCCTCGCCGTCCCCACCAGAGGCACCACGCTGCTGTCCCTGCCACAGCACGCCCCCACCACCCGCACCACCCCCGCCTGCAGCTCTGCCAGCCGCTGCAGGCGGAGAAGATCCTCGTCTGAAATCTTTGCTGTCCGCCCGCCCGCTGCTTGCTTATCACCGCCAGGCTGGCGACAGTGCTGCTGCTGCCACTGCTACTGGTACCTGCTCCTCCTGCAGCTCCGCCTGCCCCAGTACGACCTGCACCAGTACCACCTGCCCAAGTACCACCTGCACCAGTACCACCTGCCCAAGTACCACCTGCACCAGTACCACCTGCACCAGTACCACCTATATCAGAAGTGCTAGCAGCAGAGGAAGAGGAGGTGGTAGATGAGGGGGGAGATCAATGCTGCCAGATCTACTGATGCTTTCTGCCTGTCCTCCGTTCCCTTCTAATGCGGTGGTGCAGAGTGACGGTCCCATTGCATCCGAATGGGCATCTCACCTCTGTGTTGCAATCCCTAGCCTCAATTTCAGATTCCTCATCTCGCGCGTGCATTTCGCCTGCTGCCACGGCGCACGGGTGTGTCAAACGACCACGAATGCGGCGGCAATTTCAGCGCGGAACGAGACAGCAGTGGGACTGCGGTCGCACGCGAAGGCAGTGGCACGACGAGACGGCTTAGGGTTCACGCCCCTCGCCTTGGTGGACAGTTCAACCTTAGAATGATACGAAGTGTGGGAGCGGGACGGGAGTGCGGAAGGAGAGAGGGAAGGAGGTGGGGGCGTCGTACTGATAGAGGAGGGGGGAGTGGATGACAGCTGGTGGCACTGCACAGAAAAGCAGTTATTTGATCCATTCCGTACCAAACTAGCGCCAGAAGCCAAACTGCTTAGCCGGCGGATAGGCGAAGAAATGGAAGGAGCCAGGAAATTAGGGTGACAAAACTATGTATAGTGAATGCGGCGACAAGAGCAAAGACAATATGAGGAAGGGACGGGCGTAGCCATCATGCTTGCCAAAGCCGCGGTTAGAGACCTTGCATCGAAGAAGGATGGCCCGTTATCTCTATAGCAAGCTGCTAATTACGTTGTTCATCTCATCAGCTTTGCGCCCATCATGGGCGGTTGAATGTTGGCTGCGTCGCCTTCATCTTCCCTATTTTGTCAACGAATCTATACCCGCGTGGCGTTAATGTGCAGGTTTGACTCGGATAGCGGATTAGCCATACCTAGAGAGAAAGCACAAAGCTGACACATTGGTTCCTCACTCGTCACCGCCACCACTGCTGCTGCCCGCCTCCACCCACTCCCTGCTACCAACTTCACCCCCACCACGACTGCTTCCGCAGCCCGAAGCTCTCCCATGCTGTCGTGTGTGTGTGGTGGAGATGAGCTGAACATGGTGCTGGTGGTGTGGAACGGAAAAAAGGGAGGGGGAGGGAAGCGCAGAGGCTGAGCAAGGAGGGGGAATGGCAGACAGCTGATGTTGGCAATCAGCACCCGAAGGCTGTTCTCGCTTTCATTCAGCCTCATCGGCAAGCAGAGGCGAGCTACTGCGACATACTAGATGCATGCGGTAAGGGAGGCAGGCAGAGTGGCATAAGTGGATGTAACACGGGAGGGGATGCGGCAACAATGTCACATGCTGCTCGGATTCGCACCCCTATGCGCCACAATGCCCTGCGCGCCGTCCTCTCAGTAGCTGTCAGCTGAGAGGCCGTCAGCCAAGAGACCGTTATTTGAGAGGGAAACGCGCATTCATTCCACTGCTGCCACGACGCAGCGGTGTTTCCGCCCACGGCGAATGCGTGGACGGGATCAATCACTACCAGTGCGGTGCGGTGGCATGTAAAAGTCGCGCGCGAAGGGATGAGCGTCTCGCCATCACGCGCCTCGCGGCGCAATTTACAGTGGGAATTCGTGCATCGCTGAACGAAGGCCTCGATTTCGCGAAACAATCTAAGCACGAAACCCCAATATTGTCGCGTGTCGCCAATTTCGCGGCCAGTGGCGACATCAAGGCTGTGCGAATGCATTTGGTTGTTCGACTCGTAGCGAAAAACTCTTGAATTACACCTAATTAGTTGCTGCACGGATGCTTTCAATCTCCTGGCAGCGGCAGAGATGGTTGTGAAGTGGAATCTGGACGTGAGGGCGTATTTGAGCAGCAGTTGAACGAATTCGGCACAAACGAGGTTTGAGATCGTTCGGACTGGACGCACGAGGTGTCGTGGTGGTAGTTCAAAAGGGCGACCCGTACACTTTTCCGGGCTTAATGTTGAATTACAAAAACCAGATCTCAGGATGCAGTACATCTGAACGCAACCGGTTCATCAGGTAGGCGCTGTAACACATGAAAAACGGTTACCAAGAGTGGCATTTCGAACTGTTCTGGAAAAACGGTTCCGTAAGTGAATTATTAAAACACATGGGAGATAATGTCCAAACGTCAGTGACACAACGTCTTCAGAGATGATGTGACTAGATCGAAGTAGTGTCAGAACCATTGCCGTGTCATGGTCATCAGTATATCGAAACCTACGTCGAACCATTTAGTGTCAGATCCAGTCCGAACGACATGGTCATCAGTATATCGATGACCTACGTCGCGCGGGGTCGGTTTATCCTCTGCACTGGATACGACGATCATGTCGAGGGTAGTAGTAGTGACTCACTACGTGAAATGACAGCAGTCTGACAGCACGTAGCCATGGTCCACGAGAGCTACGCGAGGAATATCATTTCTCCAGTCGACCTCTCCCGTGCGTTCCAACGACGACAGCCCGCACGCCACCGCATGCCAATGCGGTGTGGTCGAGAAATTTCGACTGCGATGAATCGGTAACCCATCCCGGAGGAACGCGTCGATGGGCGTGCGAGGCGAAGGGATGGGATGGGAATGGACGTGCGAGGCGAGTAACAGGCTGGAAGGCGTGCGGCGCAAATGATTGGACAATGGGTGGCGCAGCGCGGTGTGCCATGCATGACTTATGGATCTCGGAGGTGTCCTCTCTCGTTCGTCCTCAATCCTCTACCACCCCCTCCCTGCTTCTCCCTCGCTCTTCTCTTTGTGCCAACATTTAGGTGTTTTACTTCCGTCGATTTCCTCCTGTGAGCATACCTTTTCTTGGTTTCCTCGTCTGGCGTTAATCCTTCCTCCTCACGACCTTTCTCTCCCCTGGCTGCGGAGCCTTGTCAATCCGCCTGTTCCCAGCGGCGCCTTCTTCCCTTCCCCTTCCCGCACTGACTGCCTCCCTTTCCGCGCACCGTCTGTTCTCACTGCAGCGGCGCTCACCTGTCTGTGCGCTGAGAAGTGCCAGGCTTCCACTGCTGCCATTCGCTTCTCTTCTTGTGCCCCCCTTCGCCCCTAGCCACAAAGACGTGTCTGTCGGTCTGCTGCGGAGTGCCTGGCTCTAAACGTGCACCTCACCTCGCTTCTCTTCTGCCATCTGCCTCACCTGCCACCTCTGCCTCACCTGCCACCTCTGCCTCACCTGCCACCTCACACACAAGTACGCACGGGCCATGTGCTGCCCCACTGCTGCAACTCTTCCCCTCTTTGTTCCCTGCTTCACCTTTTCATGTGTCCTGCCCTTCCCTTCCACCCCAGCCTCATTGTAACTGCTCCTTTCCTCTGCCCTCCCTTCATTTCATCCCTTTTCCTTTCAGCTTGCCGCTTCCCGTCTTATATTTTTTTTCCTCCCCTGTCCAATCTCTCCTGCTCCATCTGCTCCTCTTCAACTTGGTGCTTATGCTTCTGTCACCACCTTTGCGCTTGTTTCATCCTATATTTCCTCTTTCTTGGCCAGCCATTACTTCGTCCAATTGTCGTGATATTTTTTCAACGGGAACCTTGCTACCCGCAAGCTTAATGCCATGCCATCTTCTTTCCTGTCGTAAATTCCACGGTCTCCTCTTCCCTCTCCTATGCCTCCTCCCTCTCATCCCTGTGCCTTATGTCTTTTCAGCACGGTAGCACACGGTAGCACGCATCCTCAGCCGCCCCTTCCCTGCTGTCTCCAAATCGCGCGTTACGTTACGCTTCAGTCACTCCGCCAGTCAGCTCTCCTCTCTGCTATCATCCTGTGAGGTGAGCAGAGCATCCCGTGGCGTTCCGCACAGCTGCTTCTCTCTCGCGCAGACCTCCATTCACTTCTCAACTTCTCCACTCCACGTATGCCGCATTGGATCATCCCTTCATGTACTCATCCCGTCCGTTCCTCCTGCCACTGTAATAGATTCCCAATCTGGGTGCTGCAATCCACATCATCCATCCCTTCAATTTATGTCAAGACTGTGGTATCTCTCCCTGCCCTCATTGATTATTTTCGTTTCATTCTTTTGCCCTTCATCATGTCTTGCCATTCCTTCTGCGTCCTTTCCCTGCTGCTGCTTCCGTCCCTGTGTGCATATCTTCCAATTTCCAGCCCAGCGTATCCACGCCATCCATTTCTTCATTCGCCCCTCGCCTCACGAGGTCGGTATCTCAACCCGCATGGCTTCTCCTCTCCACACTTTGCTGCCCTTCATCATGCCTCTACCTTTTCATCTGCATACTTCCCCTGCTGCTGCTTCCTTTCCCTGCATGTAAATCTTCATCCACCTCACGTAGTTTAGAGTGCATTCCCCCCATCCTCTTCCATGACCTGCCCTGCTCTTTGCCCTCTCGAGTTGCCCTTGCATGGCGTCGTCCCTGCCCTTCGCCAGTCCACCCTTACACCTGGCTGCTCCTCCTCTGCCGTCCAGTTCACTCCTGCGTGCTCTCCATCCCTTTGCACTTGCCCCTGTGCCCTTAACCTGAACCCTCGACCCTCGCCCTTGCTTTCACTTTGAACTGCCACTCCGATTGCTACCATTCTGCCTCTTGTGGGATGCGAGAGTGGGAGAGGTTGTTTCATCCGCCGTGGCGAGTATGGCTGGATCACAGGAGTGGAAAGAGGTGATGGAGATGATGGGAGCACTTCAAGTGCAGGTGGAAGAGACAAGGAGGGGGTTGCCAGCAACCAAGGGGGACTTGGAGGAGGCTGAGAGGAGACGAGTGGCGGAGATGAGGGAGATGAGAGGGCAGGTGGAGGAGAGGGAGAGAGAGCTGATTGCAGTGAGGGAGGAGTTGGCTGAAGAGAAGGATGAAGTGATGAAGCTGCGCGTCGATCTGGAAATTAGCCAGAGTGAAGGCGATACAGAAGAAGCATGGGAGGTGAGTGCTGAATGTTCCATTTTACAGCGCGAGCATTGTTTCACAGGGTACACATCGTTTCACAAGGCATGCATCGTTACGTAGGGTGTTGGCTTGCACTTTCCTGTCCGTGATCAACCATCCCATTTTCATAATTCCCCTCCATCCATTTTCTCCAGGCAATCAAATCAGCATCGCAAAAAGATGATCTGAACCTGGCAGAACTCCGCGGCCTCCTAGACGCCATGCTGGCACATGTGTCCAGAATGACGCATCTAATGGGCATTGCCTTGCACTCCACCTCAGGCTTCAGTGCAGAGGGCATCAAACGCCTCTACAGGCTGACAGGGCTAATGACACTAGACCTCACCGGCACAGACGTCTCAGACAGTGCCTTGGAATGCATAGGATCCCTGGTTAGTCTTACGTTCCTCGCTCTCCAGGGGACCAATGTGACCGATGCTGGTCTGCGGCACTTGCCAGCTCTGTCCTCTCTCAAAGTGCTGTGGCTTTCTGGATGCGAGGGTGTGACAGATGATGGGATGGTGCACGTGGGGAGGCTGATACGGCTTGAGTCCCTTGGTCTGCGTGGCACGGCAGTCACGGATGCTGGGCTGCGGCAGCTGACTGCTCTGACCAGACTGACAACTCTCCGAGCCGCCGGAAGGGGGTGAACTTATGAATGATGCTGTTCGCAGGCGGATAGGCAGGGATGAATGAGGGGATGCATGCATGCGGCATGCACGAGTGTGCGATGGCTTGATAGAGAGCATATGGTTGGTTAACTGAGTAGCAGCTTCGCAAGGGATGATGCATGGGACGGAGGGTAGAGGGAACCAGAAGTTTTCTTGTCTGCATTGGAAAGGGTTAATACGCTCCATCACCCGTCCAAATAGCCCATTCACTAAAATACTGGAGACGTCAACATTTCAAGTGTTTCTGATTCGAAGTCCGTATGCAGTGCAAACTGCTGGTTATACGTAGTGGTTATGCCGTGGAAGAGATGGATTGGAGTGGAAGGTTGGCGGCATGCAGGCAATGAAGACTTGCATGTGAGGGGAGATTATCTGAGTGTGCGCTGCAGTGGTGCTCCTCTTTGCAGGTTGCCCTCCTCGGTTGTTGTGTGTCACCAACGCTCACTACAATGCAGTCATGGATTCAGTACAGCAAGATCAGACAAAGGCAATTGCAGCTGCATGCCCCCACCAGTCCACCCACTGAATGGGGCCCCCACCCTGCTGGTTACAGCTGCTGACTTAGCTACTATTGTGTGGCACCGATATCATGTCCTTCTGATCTTGAGGGGATTATGCAGGAAATGAGTGAAGGGCAGGCACAAGTGAAGGGTAGGAAAGGGAAAAGCACGAGAAGGGTCACCAATGCTCACCACAATGGAGTCATGGACTCAGTATAGCAAGATCAGACAGAGGCTATTGCACCTGCATCCAGTGCACCCCCACCACTCTAGCAACATAATGCGCCCTCCATCCTGCTTGTTTAAAGCTGCTGTCTCAGCTGCTGCTGCTGTGTGATACCCTCATTCTGTCCCTTTGAGCTCGAGGGGATTATGCTGGAAATGATGAAGGGCAGGCATGCGTGAAGGGCAGGCATGCGTGAAGGGCAGGCATGCGTGAAGGGCATGCGTGAGAGGGCAGGACATTAAGGAAAACGAAAATAATTCAGAAACGAAGTGCAGTGGGATATGTAGTATGGTATGAAGTATGGGATGAGGCGTGCAGGCCACAGATGTGCCAACATTATACTTTCTTACAGAATCACGAAACATGGCTTCTAGTCTGATTGTGAGGGTAAAACAATCCCACCACCCTCCATACTTATTTGACTTTGCAGTGCTGATTATTGCCACTCCAGCCGTTCACATTCTGCCCATGCCTCCTGCATCACCTCTCTCCACACCATTCCATCATGGTGTGGCGACTGGTAACATGCCCCCCCTTCCCATATGCCTTCCACTTCCTTGCCCTGCCAGTACCCCTTTCGTCCTCTCCCCCAACCCCTCTTCCCCCTCTTCCCCCCATTCCCGACCCACCACTCTTTTCCACCCCTCCTCCCCTGCTCCGTTCACTCACACTGCATTCACCCACCTGTGTGACTTGCTACAGCAGTGGCCCTCCGCACCAGGCCTGCTGGTGCACCATGCTTCCTATAATTTTGCCTTTTCCCTGCCCTACCAGCGCCCCCCTTGCCCGCTTCACAAATTTCGCCCCAACCCCTTCCTCTCACACACTTCTCTTCCACACCCTCCCTCCCCATTCACTCACAGTGCACTCACCCAGCTGTGTGACTTGCTGCAGCAGCGACTCTCCACACCAGGCCCACTGAAGCACCATGCTGCCATGAGGAGCCCATGGAGGGGAGACAGGTAAAAGGGGCAACGAGAACCGTTTTGAAGGCTTGACTTGTTCTGTGCATGCCCGGACCAACCCATCTAAGGCCTACGGGTGCTGCATGCTGCCATGAGGAGCCCATGGAGGGGGTACAAGGATTATGGCAGCAAAACACGCAATGAAAAAACAAGCAGGAATATTTTTCAAATGGGGGTGGTTAAGGGAAGTGACAACGGCACGAGGAGAAAAAAGGGGCATGAAGGCGGAAAGAGCGGGGAGAGAGAGGGGGCGTGAGCAGGATGAGGAATGGGAAGTTAGCGACGGAGCAGAGCGGGAATGATGGAGAGGCATGGGGAAAAGCGGTATTTAGAGTAGTCAGGAATTCTGTAATTACCCAGCTAAGAGGCTTCAAGTTAGGGTAATTGGTAAGTACCTGCAATTTTGAGGGTTGACCAGTTCCAAGAAATTGGCACCAATGGGAAAATGACCACATTAAATCTGTGGTAGAAAGGCGAGGGGGAAGTGATGGGGGGAATGGGGGGGAAGGACAGACCATGTTGCAGGTTGCCAAACAACAACGTTTGTTTGGGATAAGCCAATGAGCCACAGACAACAAAAAAGGGAAGGAAAAAAAAGGGTGCGAGGGGGGGGGAGGGGGGAGGGGGGGGGGGGGGGGGGAGAAGAGGGAGAGAGAGGGGGAAGGGGTAGGACGAGTGGCTGTGTTGCAAGAGAGAATGCAGATAGTAGATGTCTAGATGCGGACAAGTATTTACGAAAGCACGAATGTCATATTCTTAATTTGGATGTCACCTGCTGGCGAGGAAGGTGGGACAGGGTGGAGGAGAGGTGAGGGTGCAGGTAATGCAACTTTGATCTTCTGAGGGCAGACGAGGGAAGTTGTATGCAAAGGAATATCAGTAGCAACACTACCTGCCTGCTAGAAGCCCAGAATGATGATGCAAAGTGAAACTTCGCTACCCTGTACCGATGAAGTTTCGGTTGGTGAACACCGATTTCATCAAACGATACGCCCCCACACTTCATCATACGTGTTGGACCTGTCGTGCTCATGGTCAGGCGGGAGGGCAGGAAGGGAGGGAAAGGGACGAGTGGGGAGGATGAATAGGGTGTGGATGCGGGAGAAGGAATTGGACCAACATACCGGGAATACATCACATCACAGAAAGGGAGGAGAGGCAGTCCCTCACATCATCACACGTGTTGCAGCATATGTGGAAGAGTTTAGGGCGTGGAGGGCGACGAGGCATAGGCCACTCAGAGCAACACAATGTCACTTCACTTTTCACTATCGTGCATGCTCCTTATACGATCCATGTGTGTTGCTCTTCATCAAGCACCTCCATACGTTTCCCATGAAATTGCTCTCCACCCGTGGGTATATTGACACAAAAATAGATGCTGGCCATCACACTACAGGTTACATTACACCCACAACCTGAAAAACAGCCATCCTCTCATGCAACGGGTCTGTCTATGTAACAGTTGGAGTCAACTCCAAGCTACCGTTACAACAAGTTAAGCCTTGTCCATCCATCACCTTGCACACATCTACCCTCATGCCATGCCGCGCCGTGCCATTAATCAATTCTTCAATTTCACAACGCCATCCTTCCCGCCATCACCACTTCCTGCCAACCTACCCGCCTATCCGCATGCATATACGCATTGTAGTCCCACTCCCCTTGTGGGCACCGGAGAGAGGTCAAATTGGTAAGGGTGGTCAAATGCCGCAGCCCATCATCAGTGACTGCCGTTCCAGTCAGCCAAAGGTTCTCAAGGCCTGTCAGCCTCCCTATATCTACCATGCCAGCATTTGTCACACCCTTACATCCCGTAAGGCATAGCACTTTGAGAGAAGAAAGAGCGTTTAAGTGCACCAGACCGGCATCAGTCACCTTGGTACGATGAAGAAAAAGGGTTTTTAGACTAACCAAGGCCCCGATGCCTTCCAAGGCACTGTCTGAAACGACTGTACCATCCAAATCCAACTTCTCCAGCCGTGTCAGTCTGTAAAGGCACTTAATTCCCCGGGCACTAAAGCCAGAGGCAGAGGTCAAGTCAATGCTTTTCAAATGCGTCATTGTGGACACGTGGCCCAGGATGGCGTCTGAGAGGCCGCGGAATCCACTCAGCTTCAAATGGTCATTTTGAGATGCTGAATCGATTGCCTGGAGTAAATGGATGTAGAGCGCACTCATGACAAGTGTTAGGGAAGCAAAAGAAACGATTGCACCTATGAATCAATCCATGCCCTGGTAGGCGGAATGTAAGATCAACACTCACCTGCCATGCAGCCTTCCGATCGCCTTCACTCTGGCTAATTTCCAGCTCAATATTCATCTTCAGATCTTGTATCATTTCCTCCCTCTCCCTTGCCAACTCCACTCGCAAATTTTCCTCTCCCTTTCTACTCTCATTTCCTCTCCGTGCCAAGTCACTTCCCCTATCAGTCATATTCCATTGCTCTGTCATAGCGACCTTCGCTGCTGCCAAATCTGCTGCAAACTCCCTCTTTGTCTCCTCCAACTGCCCTTTCATCTCCCTCATCTCTACTTCTCGTCTCCTCTCAGCCTCCTCCAACTCCCTCCTTGTCTCTTCCAGCTGCACGCCAAGCGCTCTCATTCTCATCTCCATCGCCTCTTTCAATTCGTGTGTCCCGGATATACTCTCCATGACATCTCTAACAGCCTCAACCAGCCTCGCAGAGGCATGCTTCATTATAGCAGCATACGGGTACACATGGCAGCAGGCATGGAAATGAGATAACAATAGTAAATGCAAGTAAATTAAAAGGACACAATATGAGATCGGGCAAAAGGAAGCGTGAAGAATACAAGGAAGGCAAGACCAAAAGCAAGGGAAACAACATGAGAACAGCGGGAGATACAAGGGCAGCCGCTGACTCTAATGTCAAAGGATGGAAAAACTAAGAACACAGAAGCACATGAGACGACAACAAGAGGATGGTAAGGTCGAATGGGCATCACATACAGGCATAAGGTCTACACAGAATAAAGCCGTATTACACGTTAAGACCTTGCATAATTAAAATTAGTGAGTGAGCACATGCTCATGCATGAGGCAGGTGGATGAGACTGAACGATGGTGAGGAGGGCATGCTCACATGGAACCGTGCATTAAAGGGAAGAATCCACGTGGCTCCAGCATGGTGAGGGCGATGAAGGAAGGGAACGATGTGTGTCGAAGGGAGTGTGGAAAAGGGAGGCGGATAAAAGAAGGTGACTATATGTTTAGTAGCATTGGGAGAGAGGAGGATAAAAGAAGATGGGAAGAATGTTTGGTAGCATGGGAAAGCAATCGGAAGAAGCGTGGATGGAAGACATGGATCAGCATGAGAGAGGAGCTAAGGAAAGAGCCATTAAGGATGAGAATGAAATACTGGCACAGGAGCGAAACTACAGCATTGGGGAGCAGAACGATGGCATACCACGAGGCCCTTGCTTGCACTCTTCAGCTTCATCAGCCCAGCAGCCACAGCCAAGCCATGCTGATGCACCCATGCTCTCACTTGTGTGTGGGTCACGCCCATCCCCCACAGTAGTGCCATGAGAGTTGCGATGGCAGAATACAGCACGAGTAGATAAACCCCACCTGGAGACTGCACATATGAGACAACAAAGGAGTAGGCAGTGACGCGTAAGTAAGAATCTGAACAGAAGGGAAAACTAGGGAGTAGGCAGTGAGTGACACATGAATTAGAATATGAAGCATGGTGGCAATCTTCGACTTGAAGAATGGTGGCAATCTTATAAGCATCAATAACTCCAACACACACCAGGGGGTGGAGAGAGTGAGGACGCACATTGAGAGCGTGGGCATGCTGAGGGGAGGCGGCGATGGAATGGGCCGGAGTGTGAGGTCGGCATGTGCCATTCTGACACATGGCAGTGGCATTGGCCTGAGACAGACAACACATGCATGCATTCACAGGGGAACACGCACGCACGCACACACACACACTCATGCACGCACGCGCATGCATGCACGCGCGCGCGCGCGCGCGCGCGCACACACACACACACACACACACACAGACACACACACAGACACACACACACACACACACACACACACAGACACACACACAGACACACACACACACACACACACACACACAGACACACACACAGACACACACACACACACACACACACAGACACACACACAGACACACACACACACACACACACACACACAGACACACACACAGACACACACACACACACACACACACACACAGACACACACACACACACACACACACACACACAGACACACACACAGACACACACACACACACACACACACACAGACACACACACAGACACACACACACACACACACACACACACAGACACACACACAGACACACACACACACACACACACACACAGACACACACACAGACACACACACACACACACACACACACAGACACACACACAGACACACACACACACACACACACACACACAGACACACACACAGACACACACACACACACACACACACACAGACACACACACAGACACACACACACACACACACACACACAGACACACACACAGACACACACACACACACACACACACACACACACACACACAGACACACACACAGACACACACACACACACACACACACACACAGACACACACACAGACACACACACACACACACACACACACACAGACACACACACAGACACACACACACACACACACACACACACACAGACACACACACAGACACACACACACACACACACACACACACAGACACACACACACACACACACACACACAGACACACACAGAAGAAACATGGAAAACAAGGAAGGAGAACATGTACAAGCTGAAGCTTCAGATTGCCAGACATGCAGGAGGTGGAAATCATGCCAAGCAATGTTGGAGTGAGTGCAGAGTCACATGTCATGGCAGCTATCACATTTTGCCGGTGGGCCCACACGTGAGGAAATGAGCACGCACATCCTGAAAACGATGTGAACATCCAAAGAAACCATGAAAATGCTAGATGGTTGCCTTGGATGATTTCTCCATGGCATCCAAGACATACATGATGTAGTAACCAACCAAGTGCAGGAATGGTGAAGAGGAGCTGCACTGTCAACAAGTCATGCCATGGTGGTCCTGACTCACATCATCTGCAACTGGGGCACGACAACAAGCATTCTTGTCAAGAGGCATGATGCTGATGATGGTGACGGCAGCGATGGCAGCGCCAATGGCGAGGCCGGCCAGCAGCCCTGGCAACAGCATGGCCACTGCAGTCATCCGAGCCATGGCTGATGGGGCGAGCCTGGGGAGGAGGGATAGTAGCAGAGGACGGAGGGGAGGAGCGGCAGCAGCAGTGGAAAGAGGTGGTAGGCAACAGCAGGAGGGAATACGAGGCAGCAGAACGGAGATGGGAGTATCCGAGTTTTCAGGGCGACCACGCCTCGTCACTAGCAAAATGGAAAGGCGATGAGGAGAGGTGATGATAAGATGTGACGGAAAATCCATTTAGAGCCCGGTGAGAGGCGCATGGAGCAATGCACGATATTTGATGCACCAGCATGAGAAGGATGCGCAAGGGAGAATAAGATATCCCGAACGAAGATTCCTACCTCGTGAGATGAGAACAGAACAGAGCGATGGAGTGAATGAAACGGACCTCAAGCGAGTGGCAAGCAGAGAGCACAATCTGCCAGCAGAAATCCAGCAGGTCGGGGCAGGGGACAAGAGGCACAAGATGCAGAGAGTGCAGAGGTGTGGCTTTAAGAGTGAAAAGGGAGACAATCATAACACCATTCAAAGATCCCTGCGTAGATGTACTGCCTGCTGAGGGGTGGAGAATAATCAGATCAGTCGTCTCCTATGTATGATATTATCCTTCCTCTAAAATCATACGATCTCAGTTCCGGTCAACCAAACCAGAGTGGAAGACAAACGGAACAAAAGAAGGAAGCTGGTGACAGGAATAACAAGGAGATGGGAAGAAAGGCATGAAGGTAGAGGCACGCTAAAATGAAAACGCGCGAGCCAAAAAGAGTAAGACAGGCAAGGCGCTGAGCAAATTGGAAGGAGTGCAGTCAGATTTGAAGGCAAGGGCGAGAGACGATTAGCAGGACTCGTAGGAAAAATAGACAGGAGGCGTGGGAAAAGTGAGACAGGGAAACATATTTAGAGAAAGAGGTGCAGCAGTGGATGTCCACTCACAGTAGACTGGCTGTGCGTATCTGCCTGCCTGGTGTGTGGCGGTGGCAGGTGGCAGCAACGAGCTGCCAGTTAGAAAGCTCCACGGCAGGGTCCAGAAGGGAGAGAGGTCAGGAGTGACGTTATCAGGGTAGATATGTCTAATTAGGGATTAGGGAATAATACGGAATTCGATGGAAAAACAGGTCAGAAGTATCAGGATGGGGATAAACAGAGCTGCACTAAATGGGGCTAGGAGCAGGCATGGGAGGAAAGGAGACGAACAGAGGACAGGAGGGAGGCATCATGCCACAATCTCGCATCGCACTCCATCCATCATTCATCTCACCGTTTGCCTCTCCCAGATCTCTCCATCGCAGCCCTAAGCTCGTCCCCGTTTGTCAGGCATCACTGCTCGCTCGTCCGCTTCCAACTCATGATCTCGCGTGTGACGAGCGCGCAGCACCGAATGCACGGACCCAGCTCGTGTGCTGCCAACTGCCACTTGGGCAAACGCGACGCATCGGGTTGATCGATCGCGCGCTCGTGGAGTTTCCGCATTTGCTGCGACGCGCATTGGACCATCAAGCTCCATTTATGAAGCGAGTCGCTACCCAGGCCGCCTGGCCCCGTCTTACTCTTCTAAACCCGTCGATCGCCAATGGCTGCCGAATCATCGCGCTCGGCGGATAACTATTCGTGGCAGACGGCGAATTCTCGGAGCTGCGCATGGCGGCATCGTCGTTTGCAGGACATTGGAACGGGCGACATGAATTCGGATCCGCCACTCACAGCGCTCGATGCACTGGCATGCAAGTATTTCTCACGACGCGTGGCGATAGTGACAGCTACTGAATCTGAACGGCAAGAACCAAGCTTGCTGGCGCGTAGTATATAGCTGTTCGCTAGTAGCAACTATGTCAGTTAGCGAAGACCGGGGATGGTTATGTCGAGGAATTTGACGACAAGGTACCTCGCGAAAGCCTAGAAAGGGAATTCAATCAGAATGTTTGCAATGAGTTTCGTTACAGTTACGATTCCGCTATCGCAAAACGCACAGGTTCGTGAACTCTTTGAGTTTTGGCCACATTGTGTCGTTCTCAGTACAGCTGAGCGAGGTGAAACAAACACACTTCCATTTCCCCCCTTTCCTGTGACAATTGCTATGCGTCATCTTTCGGAAACATCATTTTCGCTCGATGTTGTGAAGTTTGGTACCCAGCTTTGAAACAGAACAACGCTTCCACCAGCTTTGGTGAGTCACGATAATGGAAGGAGTTTATTTTAACTCGCGCCGCGCTCTTGCAAAGTCGAGGACACAGCAAAGTCTTCGCCAATGCACTGCATTAGAGCCTCGGCGTTACTACTTATCACTAACGCAGATTAGAATTTCGAACCCCTGTAACAGTTACTACCACTCGTTTGGGTAGTATTCCTCCTCGTCCTCCTCACGCTATCTTGGTCGTTTCAAAGCCATCTCATTTTCTCGAGTAAACTCAAAACTGAGCGGCATTGCAGATCGTTTGCCGTGTTCGGTGCCCGTTTCGGAGCTCGGATCCAGGTGTCTGCGCCTAGTAGGCGTCATTTCCTCTCCCAGCTGCAGCACGAATTTCAATCCGCGAAACCCTAAACGCAGGCCTGAGGTGAGGGCCTCCCCGTCATATCATTTCGCCTCGCACACCAACTCTACCTTCAGTCACCGTTTTCCTCCTTTCGCTGATGGTTTTGAGCCTTTTGATGCTCCCTACCTCTGTTTCTCTCTCTCATTCTCGTACCTACCTCCCCACTGTCTCCATTCCGTGACATTCCCAGAGCTTAGCGCGCTAAAAGGAAAAGTGAAGTAAATAGTCGTTTAGTCATGCATGGAGGCATCACGCTTCCATGCTCTTAGTGCAAACTGAACGTCAGTCGGAAATTCACTGAATTGTGACGTGTGAGGCGCGAGGCAAACCGATCATAGGCATTGCCAAGGAAATAAAGTGACGTGTGACCTGACGTTGCTGCAAGTGCCATCATCACAGATCCGTGTCTGTTTTCTTTCCTACTTCAATTCCTTCCGTTACAGTCACACAGCGTTTTTTAGAGCTGGTATCCAGACAGCCTTTTTTCTGCTACACCTGTGCTAGCTCGCATTTCCGTACCGAGATCTAGTCACGAGCAGAGGGCGAGGCAAAAAATGCTCGCCACGTTCCAGTTTGCCTTGTTCCACTAATGAGGTGTGGTGAGTAGCACTCGCCAAATTGAGTACTTCTCCCTCTATGCCGCCTCGTTACTCCCCTTGTGGGGCGATGTTTCTTGCCCGGGTCGAGGCAAGCGACACTCGCCTCTCCCTCAACACCCTTGCGGAAACTCACCCTACACTTCCAGAGTATCCAACCTGCCTCCCCCCTCCCACCCCCACGTGGAAACTCACAATTTCTGCCCCAACTGAAATCCACCCTAACTAGCACGCAAGTTTTTCTAAAATCAATCGCCTCTGACTGAAGGAATATATTAGAGAGCGTAGCGATAGCGAGAGAGTCTCTGCTATGGGAATGATGTTGCGCCAGCAACTTGGTAGAGTTTTGGTAGCGTTTGCCTCTAAGGACTTTGTGAGAACTGAATTAGCATTTGGGCCAAGTAGAATTGCAATATCAATTATCAAACACACAAGCAAACACAAACATATATAGGCAAGCAAGAGTTGCACAATTGTTGCGTGGCGCTGCGAGTAACCCAACCCACACGAAAGTGCTGTGCAGGTGGGTGAACGCGCCCCGCACATTTCCAACCCAACTCGGCACCGGAATGTCTCACCGTGCACGCTACTCCTGCCAACACAGCAAGTGAGCAGCGTGCCTCACAAGCAAGGCACCTACGACCCCCAAGACTCGTCATTCCTAGCACCGATTCCGCCGAGTTCGCTGCAGTAGCTCACAGTCACCCGTAGTCACTAATGACCGCCACCGAACTCGTGCGTCGGTGCCGAGTAGACTCAGTCGTTAGGCGCCGACCTGCCAAGTCAAAGGTCATCGAGGGCCCTTGCTGTCGTAGGGCCCTCTAACACTGACAAGTCGTACAGTGCAGAGGCCAAATCGCACAAAATCTCTACTAGTACTCTTTACACCCACTTTTTTGGAAAAACAAAACGAGTACTTGTACACTCGACAAACGATTCTCATATCGTCGCGGTGGAGTAACTTGGACGAGGCGAGGTTGAGGCCTTGACCATTTAACAAACAAAGAATGGGGCGATTTTTTACACACTGTTTGCTCATGCTCAATCGGATTGGATGTCTCTGACCCTCCTGTTCCTGTTTTCTCTTGTGTGTGTCCCTGTTTTCTTGTGTGCGTGCCCCTGTTTACCTCCATGCGTTCGCTTCCAACCGATTTTAAAAGGAGGGAGGCGGCTGAATTCAACCTGCGATTATTGCTATCAAGAGAGAGGAAAACCAGATTGCTGAAGCAGTGCAAGGTCTGTTCGGATTGGTGAGAGGGGAGTTGGCAGCATTGAGGGGGGAGATGGTAGTGGTCAGGGAGGAGGTGGCACGTCAGAAGGAGCGAGTGCTGATGCTGGAGGAGAGGAATTGGGTGCTGGAAAATGAGGTCAATGATTTGAGGCATGCAGTGGGTGTTGTGGGAGAGAGGAATGTGGCTACTGCTGCTCTGGTGGAGGCAAGGGAGAGAGAATTGGCAGCAGCAAAAGGAGAGCTGACTGCAGTGACGGGGGAGTTTGAGGCAGTTAGGGAGGAGGTGGGCCGACAGAATGAGCAAGTGTTGATGCTGGAGGAGAGGAATCGGGTTATGGAGAATGAATTCAATGAGCTGACGCGTGAATTGAGTGTTGTGGGAGAGAGGAGTGCGACGACTGCTGCTGTGGTGGAGAAGTGCGAGAGGGAGTTGGCAGCAGTGAAAGGGGAGCTGATTGATCACGAGGGTGCTGTGAAAGAGCAACTGGATATGGCTGAGAGAAGAAGAGAATTGGAATTGAAAGAGCTGAGAGAGGAGGCTAGAAAGGGAGAGGCTGAAATTAGAGCGGAGTTGGCAAGGGAGAGGGAGGAGAGGAGGAGGGAGGTGCAGGAGCTAGACTGGCCACGTGCCATGGAGGAGTTGACAGCCTGCCGAATGTGGCAGAATGCTGAGCTGGAAATGAGCCGAAGTGATTGCCATCAAAAGCCTCCATGGGAGGTGAGTGCTGACTTAAATGTTTGACAGGGCGTACATTGTTTGACAGGGCGTGCATTGTTTGACAGGGCGTACATTGTTTGACAGGGCGTGCATTGTTTGACAGGGCGTACATTGTTTGACAGGGCGTGCATTGTTTGACAGGGCGTGCATTGTTTGACAGG